TAATATAAAAGTTCTATTATCACAGTACGTAAAGAATGTATATATTTGAGTAAGAAGTTATAACGCAGATGAACTTATATTTATATATGAATATTATAGAAAATAATAATTCATGTCTGAAATTTTGTTTTACTGCAGTGATGTACTTTTTGCTTTTTATTTTATCACATTTTTAACACATATCATTAAACAAAAATAGATAAGCTATATTAGTATTTAAATCTTAAATTTTGTCCTTTAAATTAAATAATGATTGCAAAATATTTATCGACAAAATAATGCTATAGAAATACTGCCTATTTATCGTCGTGCTACAAAATCTAGTCTTTATTAAAATACACATAAATAGCAATATAAAAAAAGCAAGTAGTACTAAAAGATTGCATTTTCATCCCTTTCAATTATATTTATAATTTTCATATTCCTATGATCGAGTGAAACGTCTCGTTTCTCTTTTTCTCTTATCACACAGGTACAGCACATATTGTTCTCTAGAATCCTTATACCAATTATTCTTTATTCCATAGTTAACTTATATTGCATGCTATTAAATATGAAAATGTAACTTCTATGAAAGTTTATATTCATTATTAATTCAAGTTCGCGTCACCTAATTATTTTATAGACATGGGAAACGAAATGTAAGACGATCTTACTATAATCATGCTACTTCGTTTAAGTCTCGAACGCGTAACAATTAACCGAATGGGAAGTAACTTTGGGTTTTAAAAAATAAATTTTTGTTAGATAAATTAAGTAACTTGGTTGCACCTTATAATTATGAAAATTTTAACTGAATAATATTTTCCTATTATATCGTATGTGTATTCTTTGCTTCCATGCAATATTCAAAATGTACTAAAAAGTATTCAACTTAAAATATAAAAATAAATATAGTTAGAGAAAATACTGATTCTCTGTTGTATACAATGTAGAAGCAAACATAAATTAAAATGATCTGTTAGAAAAAAGGTACCTCTTGAAAAATAATGACTATCATTTAATGTAATTTAAAGGTAGTTTCTAGTGTGGAGTACGTCTATGCGCTGTAGTTGGCCTCGGAACGCCAGATCGACCTCGTACTTTTTTCAGTTGCACAAAACTATTGTCGATTCCGTTATTGTAAGACAGATATATATTCGACAAGTCAGGTTGTATTTGCTATAAATGAATCGTTATAGTAAATACAGAGTTCTCGTTTTTAAACTACACCAGCGTTAATTTTATAAAATTGATACGTACATCTTTGTTCGTTCCCACCGGCGGAGTTGCTTGCGCTTTGCGCATGTTATTTCCTGTGTACGCTACACATTTCAGCTGCCATTCTCCGATATCCTCGTTCCAATGGACGTATCTTTCGATCATCGTCTAAAACATTATTACGATATAAATGGTTTAGCTTACCACACATTATTCGTGTACTTTATTAAACGTACCTGATACTGAACAGGGATGTAACTGTTTACTATTAGTTCTTGAAGCTGCAATTCTCTTCCAATACCTCTGACTCCTTCCAAGAGTCCTTCCATTTCTCTCTGATGCTCTTGCTGCAAATCGGACAATTCTGCTTTGACAGACATTAACATTGTATGTACTCGAGCTAATTTCTTCGTTTTTCCCGCAGCTTCTTCTTGCAAGGAGGAATATTTCTCTTCTATGTCGATACGTTCAGCTTCCTTCGCTTCTATTGCTTTTTTTAACTGTTCTTCTCTACTCTTCCGTTGATCGAGTTCGATCGCTGCCGCAGCTAACAATTGTTCTTGGGCCTCCGCTTTTTCTAACAAATTTTCACCTCCAACTAGAATCTTGTTTTGGAGATTTTGCATTTGTGCTCGTAACGCTTCTTTCTCGCTCCTGAAACAATTATGTGTAAGTAATTTATATGCCTAACAATTAACGTTTTAAATAATATGTTAAGAGAATCATACTGAGTTCTTTTTAATTCTATGACATCCTTGTCATCAGGACTTTTGTCTTCCCTCTCGGCTTTGTCGATCTTTTCGTTAGAATCTGCGTCCCTATCTTCCAATTCTTCCATCGTTAATATTTGACTTCTCCTACGTCGAACTTTTTTCTCGTGTTTGGTTTCCCCTGTGTCTTCGGAATCTTCGGACTCGTCGTCAGATTCGGAAATTTCAGTGCCGTTCTCTTCCAGCTGTTTCCGTAACTGTTCAATCTCGACTTGAAATTGACGAAGCAGAGCGTCTTTCGGATCTTCGTTAATTCTCGCTCTGTTCTTAATGTTCTTTGCGCGGTTCGCATAACGAAGAGTGCTGATGGTTTCATCGTAATTTATATCAGCTGGGCTTATATTTGCACACTAAATTTTCAAAAAGTTCAAATAACTATTCGATGAACACTATCATTCATAACAAATATATAAGATAGAATATTAATAATCCTACCATCAACGTTTTCGAGTTACCACCAAGAGAATCTTGGAGTAATCTCGTCAGTTTTGAATTCCTGTAAGGCACATGTGAACTCTGGCCATCAACCAATGCGGATATTACATTACCTAGCGTTGAAAGTGACAAATTAATTTTTGTCGCTTCCCTTAAACGGACTCCGGACGTTTTGGTTTTGCTTTGTCTCTCCGATCCCTGAAGTTATATCAAAGATTAAGATACATATATCTTGAAATGAAAAGGTAATATTATAGTTGTAACAATATCTTACAGCTAAATCGACTAAATGAAGTTTGCCCATTTTAACATGTTGTTCACCATCGTCTCCGAGTTGACTAGATTCAACGGTAATCGTGAATATTGCGTGGGATCTTGAACTCGATACGTTCATCGCCGTAGCTCCAACAACGCCTACGAGTGATATAAATTATGAATAATTACAGATTCTACTTAAAACAGAAATATATTTCAAGAGGCGCTTACGGTTTTTGTTGCCAAGAGACATTATTCGATCTAGATCATCGGCGTTATTTACGACGTAGCCACTGAGATCTTTTACGAATACTCCAATGTCTGGTCTCTCCTTCACTTCCAGTCTTGTGTTCTGATCTTTCCCTAACAAGTCTCTAACTTCCTCGTTATAAATCTCTAAGTATGTTGCACGTACAAGGAATCTGTAGATCAAACATTATTTTTTCACAAAGCCTATACACGTAAAATAATATTTCTGAGTGAAGATAATTACTTTTGGTTGTCATGAGCTTTAGCTATGTGTCCAAAAATGTGTGCAAAAGTATTAGGAATAATGCCCCTGAGTTGTGGGAATGTTTTTGCACCAGACATGGTATACGTTTTACCAGTGCCTGTTTGTCCATACGCGAATATTGTTCCATTGTATCCTTGAAGAACTTTGTCGACGATCGGTCTCGCGGTTTCATTATAAATATCAACTTGGGTCGAGTCAGTGTCGAATACAGCATCGAATGAGAAAACCTTTGGTGGTTCTCCTTGTGCGGCATTAGGATTTTCAACAGTTATTTCGCTGTTAATAGTGTCCACGCATACTATGTTTTTACAGTGCCCGTCCAATTCCTTTCCATTTAAAGGTCGAACACGTACTACGACTCTGACATTCTCCACTTCCCCAAGATCCGTCGTACTGTCCTGCATCGAATAAATATTGCACGATCATTAAAAAGTTGAACCGAGGAAAGAGATAAATATAAAATCATAAAGTCATGATTATTTTGTCCTGCACTTCGAACAAAATAGATATGACATTAATACGATTTGACAGATAGAACTGTCAAACGAATATATGTATGTTGACAATCCTTGTTCGAAACGGAAATATTTCTGTGTGGAGGTACTAACTTCAGTCCCCGGCATCGTGGTTCCGTTCCTTTTTAAAGTCACATAAACACACGATTTACAGCATAATATTTAAGCAGGTAAAACTTAGTGATATAGCAGACGACCTCCGTAAACAAATGGATCGATTTGTATGATTGCATTGAGTGAAGATAGCCACAGACGGATAGTCGCTATATTCAACTCATATATACTCGAGTGATGGCGATACATGAAGATATACTGTGTGTGTGTCCTCTTCATCAAGAGCAGGCGTCATCTAAGTGGAGTGGAAAATATTCCTAATTTCTTTATTTCATTTGTCAAATTATTTTAAGAACAGTACATTTATTAATCTTAGCGATTATTGTCATAAATAAAGTAAACATTATTCTACCAAGCATTCATAAAAATGAAGATACTGATAATTGCCATTGTTGTATTAAGTGTACTTGTTGTCAAAGGTAAAAATGGAAATTACATTAACATTTTATACGTAATAACGTAGAGTCCCTGATATTTATTTTCTAATGTACACTCTATTCTTAGGGCAAGGTTTGTACTGCTACCGATGTACCAGTAATCAACCTGGGTGTGGCACACCTTTAAATTGGTTATGGTATTGGGGAGAGACGTGTCCAGAATATGATGACAAATGTGTAAAAATTATTGAGAAGAAAGGAGGTATATAAATCTTCCTTGCAATTAAATAAAAATAGTTCATGTCTGTTTATTAACACACTAAAAACATTGTTATGTTTTAGCTGAGACCATGATAACTCGGGAATGTTTGAGCTCTGTTCGTAGCTTCAGAACAGACATACCAGCTGATAAGTATGAAGGTTGTAGACCTGCTGCAAAAGATGTTAGACTAGGACATTATGTGAATAATTCTCTTTGGCAATTAGATATTCACAGAAATTATTATGATGAAGTAACATGGTGCTTCTGTTACTTTGATCACAGATGTAACAGTGCTGTTAATATTCACGTTTCCATTTTGTTACTTTTTATTGGGATAACAGTACATCAGTTTATAGCATAAAACATTTACAAATGTTGAATATTTATGCTTTAACTTTGTTTAGATCTTTTCTCTAGAGATTGAATCAAATGCATTTACTCTGATTAGTATCTGCATAGAATTGAAGTTCATATTTGTAAATAGTGTAAATAACCATTCCAGTATAATTTCACTATAAATCGACCCGTGCCTTAAAAGTTGATTATTCTAACTACAGTAAATTTGACCAGTTTTTCTGTGTACCTAGACAATGTAATGAAACATTGAATTCCATCCAAAGTGTGTATTTATAATTGTTATTTTTTTGTGAACATATGTTACATATTCTGTTCATGTTATTAGAGTACATTTAATTACTGCACACTTAATTTTTAGTGCACCTTCACATTCCATAATTTACTGGCTTATACATTAATCTCTAGACCAACTTAGATATTATACTTTTTTATATATTAAATCCTTCGTCCATTACTACGAAAGAAATTTATGTAAAATTAACTTTTTATACTTTTTGCTACGTGCAGATATTCTGTACGATTGTACTGAAATTTTAATAAAGACGTGTATTTTATAATTGACTGTTCATTTTTATAAAGGCATAGGGACAATCAATGAGAAACTTGGAATCATATAAAAGGAATATTTTTATTACAAACACTTGACGACAAACGAGTCTTAAATAACATTAAGGAAAGCCTTTGGAATATATATTTTTAAGAAAATATCACTTGGCACTTACATCTAAGGTATGACATATGTGAAAATGTGAACAAACTGAAACAAGTACGTCTTTTATAAAGTAAATGAAAAATAGTCTTTAATGAAACATTGACATGAAGACGATGACGAAATACTGCAAGAGAAATGGACAATTTGTTTACTAGAACCCAATAGTTTCTTCTTAAGCAGCTTTAACTGTCTTCTCTTGTCCCCTCTGTTGAGCAGTATTCTTTTGCGGTGTTTCCTTCTGTTTCTCTGCTGGTGCAGAGGCTGTTTCTTGCCTCAGAGCTGGCTGTCCTGTATTCTCGATTTGGATGATTCTCTCGTTCTTCGACTGTGGTTCAGGTTCCTTTCGGGGCGCAGTGATGGTCAATACACCATCCGATGACAAACTCGATTTCAACTGATCGATGTCGCACTGGTCTGGTACCAAGTATTTTCGCACGAACTGCCTCGAGATCCATCCATGTTCGTCCTGTTTTTCCTCGTGTTTCCCTTCGACGATCACATTCTTTCCTACAACTTTGACAGAAACTTCCTCCGGAGCGAACTGTTGGACATCTAAGGTGACTTGAAATTTGTTCTTGTCGGCTTGGACAGTGGATATTCCGCCTCTGGATGCACGTTCCAAGGCTCTCTCGTAGGGCTGGTATCTCTGAGTCCCACGGCGACGTGGTTTTATTACCACAATTTCGTTATCCGGAAACGGTAAAGCTGTTGGCAAATCCTCGGGACTCAACGATAGCCCGAAGTGCTGATCAAATAGTCGATGTGGTCTGTCCAAACCCTCCCACCAGCTAGAGAACAACATCGGTAACAGAGACATTGTCGTTTTTCTTGAAGCTTCAACGTCCAGTAAGAATCAATAAAATTCGACAATTTGCTTTTTGATCTCTCTTCACTTAAAACTTGCAACACACTCTTCGCTACTTAATTCGTTGGATGATAATAAATAATAACAATAGTGTGGTTTATACAAAAGTCTGAGCGCAATTGAATTGAACTCGTATCTCGCACTTTGTCGAGAGCGTCTTTACAAATTCTACCGGTTAGTAACAGCAACTGCGCGGCCTGCGCGCGAATTTATATTTGTTACCCCTTGGAAACATGGCGGGGGTAAACGTAAACGTCGAGTAATATGTGGAATCTTCCAGAAATTGAATTTTCCAGATGAAAAGTAATAAGTGTATGAAATAGTTAAAAATAGTTTCATTGAAAAGAATGTATCACTTAATAAACTGTAATTCACGTATCAAAATGTCATATCTCTGGTCTCGCC